ACCAACGGCGTTCTGCGGCAGCTGCCTCTGGCTGGCTGCTAGGCGTAAGCCAACAGATGCTGGGTGAAAGGGCCCGTTTAGTCAGAAGCAGAGCCGCAGGGAATCCCAACCCGCTCGCTCCAGTGGAAGGAAACAGCTCCGCGTGGAAAGGAGCGACAGGGAAGGGGGGAAAGGGGAACCGAGGCAGGTCCACCAGGGCACCCTGCGGCCACAGAGACACAGGCAAGGAGGGGAGCCCAGTCCCTGCACCCCAGCGGGGTGGCCAGGCGCCGTTTCATATGCCCGCAAGCCAGCTCCAGTCTGTTTGGCCGTAAAGCAGTGCTGTTTCACAGGTGTTTGCCTTGTTCCACAGCTGGGGTTTTAAGGTTGAGAAGAAAAAGACTCCGGTCTGGGAGCGTGTGGTGCAGGGGTGGCAGTGAATCCGCCTGCCGACGCAGAGAGGAGAGCAGAAATCACGGAGTGGGAGAGGAGCCCCGGGACTGGACTCACTGGGAGACCCGCGGCGTTCAGTGACTGTGGGATTTATATTGGAGGCAGCAATGGGAGTCCTGCAGCAGGGCAAGGGGCGGCCTGGGGACGGGCTCCCGTGCAGCGCCAGGGAGCCGCGTGCGGTAGGTGGCACTACCCGGCCGCGTTTGCAGCCACCTCGCTGCAAAGCCCAGAGCAACTATGGCGTACGGTCCGGTCTCCATCCTGAGGGAGAAGCGGCTGAATTCGGCCTCCCTGTTTAACCATAGGCTGTGCTTCCGCACGGGGTGTTTTAGTGGACACTGTGCATTGGGGACGGTCAGTTTTTCATTAAAAGCTGCAGTAAACAATCTATGTAATGTGAAATAAGACCCCAGTCTAGGGCTGCTGGACTCTTAACAGGCCGCCGCTGTCACCCTCCACTGCCCTTTTCTGGCTCTGTTCTAGACCTAGTTTTGGCACAGTTGTGAGACAACAAATTTACAGCACTGGAGACACAAGGGACTTGCAGTTGGGAAGAGGAACCTGCGCATCTCAAGGACATTACTCCAGATTTTAACTCACACCTCACCTGAAAGTCATTTCTTACTGATGGGCAATATCAACTTCACTTATGGTCTTCTACAGTTTCCTTGAGAACAAGACCCCAGCAGAGAAGCAAAGTATTGAAAGACCACAGAGTGTCTTGAATTAGTTGAGGGGGAAATACACGTACCCTTGGGCCATGCTTTGCCACCATCCTGCACGCAGAGAGCTTCAAGCACAGGGAACCACATTGTCCAAAAAGGAGCAGGAGGCTGCTGGGCGGCGCGTACAGCACCCTCTTCTGCCCGTGCCACAAGCTGGTAAAGTCAAGGTCTGCTCCCCTGCTTGAGAGACTGTCGGCACTTCTCTCCTTCTCACCAGCTTGCCCCACTTTACGCTCTTTTCATTCCCTTAACAGACTGGGCACCTCAAGTAAGAAAAACACGTGCTGTACCACCAGCATCATTACCGTGGCTTTCTTCTTCGCACTTGGCTGTCTAGTTGTTGCTAATTACTGCTTCTTACATTTTTCATTCCATTTATTCTTTATTACTTTTCTCCAAGGATAGCAGCAGGGATCCTAGGTGCCAGGCACAGCAAAACACATAGCAAAGAGACAGCCTCAAGGGGTACCCTATGCTAACATGCTACGAGAGTTTAAGGGAGCTCTTTGCCTTCGCACCCTAGCCATTGCTTTAGGGAGAGCATCTGCTTGATATATAAATATGCTGGGAGGCAGAGTAGAGGAGCATATGGCCACCTTCTCCATGGTGGAGTCTTTGTGTGAGGGTCATCTTCATCACTGTCAGAAGAAAAGCATGCATGGGTGGAGCTGGTCGTGGTGTGAAAGTGAGTCAAATCGGCTGTGCTGTGTTTAACCCCAGAACGCCTCACTCCTTGCCTTCCCTTCTGCTTCCCCACAAATGCCGCATGACACACGCTGGGATTCGGAGGGCAACCGCTATTAGCTCCATATGGGAAGTTGCTCTGCTGAAGGCCCAGCTCATCGACTGGAAATTAGCTGGCGCCCTGTTCCCTCCACCACTTCCACCCCAGCTTTGGTTAGCTTCCGAAAAAGGGATCGAAGGCAAACACCTTTGTCCAACAACACAAAATCAGCAGCTAGCCCAGACAGAACGTGACCCGTCCCCTTGCCTGCGTCCCCCTCATCCGCCTTTGCTCTCCGGAGCGGTGGTCTGCGCTCTGTCCCAGCCAGCTTTTCTTGTGCCAGCAGTGTCTGTGGGTTTAGCAGAGTGACCGCACTGGGGCCCGGACCGCAGCTGACATCCACCGACACTTGGTGGCTCCGCAGGGATTTACAGCATCTGGCAACCGGCTCAAGCGGAGCCACTTTGGTTTTGAAATTCCAAAACCAGGAATTTCAGCTTTGCCTTCCCACCTTCTTTGCTTAGCATAAATTTATACCAAACCCACAGCCAGGGACTGGCTTTGGTTTTGTTCCTTTTGTCACCGTTTTATTTTGCGATTTATTATTTTTAAAACTTCTTAATACGTACTTTAAGCCCTTACTTATTGTCCTCTGTTTTTAAAATGGTGCTGAAATTTGCCTTTTGGACAGCACTCCCCACTCCTGTAAGGCCATAATAAATCTCTTGACCCAAGACTGAAACCGCTGCGTGGGTTTATAAAGCAACCAAACCAGCCAGAAATCTGGGTAAAGAGGCTGAGCCAGATGGGTTTAGGCAGTAACTCCACTGAAGCCGGCAATGTTATAGCAAGACAAATTTTATCAGCGCCTGGTAAGCTTTCATGTTTACTCACCCCTCAAAAACCCCAGACCAGAGCAAAGATTGCACAGTATCCAGTAGTGGCCATGAGGGAAAATAGCACAAGTTTGCGATTGTTCAACATACTCAGCT